GAGGGACTCCAATAAGATTCAGAGCTGACTTGTCATGAGACGCATTGGAGCCGGAAGGCAGTGACGTGATGTAATCAAAGTACCAAAAAGAAAAAGAATCTTATATCTAGCAAAACTATCTTTTAAAAATGAAGGTGATGGTGAGATGGGCATCCAATGAATTTATCAATCGATCAATAATAAATGAAAATGAAGGTAAAATTAAGACATTTCCAAATAAACAACAACCAAGAGAATTTGTTGTGAGCAGACCTGCCTTACAAGAAATAATTGAAAAAGTCCTTCAGGCTGAAACAAGTGACCCAGACAGTAATCTGAATACACACACACACACACACACACACACACACACACACAGCAATAAGGCCAGATGGTAACTCAAATTCACAGGAAAAAAAAGAAGGAAACCAGAAATGGTACGTAAGAAGATTAACATAACAAACTCTGTAAGTATGTATTTGCTCTACTTCCTTATCTCAGCTGCTTTAGAAGACCTAAGATTAAATAAAGTAATAATTATAACAATGTATTGTTGATTCATACCTTATGCAGATGTAATGTGAGTCATAATAGTCACAGAAAAGAAGGAAGAGAGAATAGGGCTGTATAAAAGTGACAATTATGACTCATAATTTAGTATAAATGTGAAATACACTCTAATATGCTAAGATGTATATGACAAGCATTACAGCAACCACTAAGAAAATAACTCAAAAAACAAAGGTGAAAAAATTGTTAAGGGAATTAAACTGCTACACTAGAAAACAGTCAATTTGAAAGAAAGCAGCAAAGAAGGAATAGAGGAACAAAATAGATAGCAGACACAAAGAAAACAAAGAGAAAATGGCAGCTATAAATCCGTTATATAAATCCTAATATTAAGCGTGAAGAGTTTAAATGATCCAGTCAAACGGCAGACATTGCCAGACTGGATTTTAAAAAGACACAAACAACATCCAACTATGTCCTATCTGTAGGAGACACACTTTAGATCCAAAGAAACGAATAAGTGGAAAGTGAAATGGTGGAAAAGATGTACCATGCCCGCAGCAACCACGCGAGAGCAGGAGTCGCTGTACCAATGTGAGACAGATAGACTTTAAAACAAAGACGATACCTGAGATGAAGGGAGATATTGTATAAATATAAAAGGGTCAATTCTTCAGAAAGATGTTAAGCGTGATCATGTGTGTTCCTAACAACAGGATACCAAGAAACAAAACAAAAACCAACAGAATTGAAGGGAGAAATTGACAACCCAACAAGCGGCGACTTCAATAACTCACTTAAATAATGGGCAGAACAACTAACGGGGCAAGAGATTGACAAGGAAACAGACGAGGTGATTAACACATACACCAGCTAGGCCTGACACACACTATGGACCACTCCATCCAACAACAGCAGAACACCCGCTCTTCTCGAGGGATGGAACATTTTCCAGGATAGATCATTTACTAAGGTGCAAAACAAACCTTAACACATTTAAAACGACTGGAATCATATAAAATATGTTGTCTTTCCACAGTGGAATGAAATTAGACATCAATAACAAAAAAAAATTGAGAAATTCATGAATATGGGGAAACCAAACAACACAATAATAAATAATCAATGGGTCAAATAAAAAAATCAAAACAGAAATTAGAAAATACTTTGAGATGAATGAAAACGGAGACACACAAATGAAGCATACAGGATGCAGCCAAAGCAGCGTGTAGATGAAAATATATAGCCGTACATGCACTTCAAAACACCAGAAAACCAAACTAAAGCTAAAATGAGCAGAAAGAAGGAAATAATGAAGATTAAAACAGAAAGTAACGAAATAGATAATAGAAATAATAGAGAAAATCAATAAAACCAAAATTTGGTTGTTTGAAAAGATCACCAAAAGTAACAAACCAAGTCAGAATGTTGGAAATGTTTCCAAACGATGTGGAATTTTTGTCTTTGATTGGCCAGTGGGTTCTGCTTCCCGTCTTGGCCTCCAAGAGACCCCAAGAAGGACAACGTGAAGATGAAGGCACCCCCACCCTGCTCCACCCCATCTCCAACCTGCCCCGTCCGCACCTGCCCAGTCCTCACCTGCCCTGTCCCTCTCCACCTGCCCCATCTCATCCCACCTGCCCCTCCCCTCCTCACCCCCTGGCGTCCCACCTACCCCATCCCATCCCGTAGTAGCAGAGGTGCTTGCTGTCCTCTGACCCGAAGACCTTGATCACCATGCTGTAGAGGTGCAGCCCTTCCACCAGCATCCAGGCAAAGGAGCTCAGGAAGAAGTAGTGCAGCAGCACGGCCATCACCCGGCAGAGCGTCTAGGGTCAATCGGAGACACGGGAGATGAGAGGGCCCTGGGGTGCACACCGGGCTTGGCTGTGGTCCTGGCCTCCCCATGTCCATTTCCTGGGGCCTTTAGACACCGGGCTCTGGGAGGGAGATGCTCTCCTCACCCCCTGGGCCACTGTCTGGGCTCACGCACATCTGGACCCAGGGCAGATCCCAATGTGGGCTTGCACGGGCAGCGTCACCGTCCCCTGACTGGTGGCAATACAGGGTTCCAGGCCCCACTCAGCACTCCTGAATCCAAATCTGCATTTTAAGGAATCCCCACGTGACAAGGAATCCTGCATAACAGGAAGGACATTGCGGGACACGGGCTGAGCTACTCACCGTGCCTGGCTCGAGGCGGAAGCTGGCGAGCAGCAGGACCTGGGCCACCAGCACGGCGCAGGACAGGTTGGCGTGGATGTGGTGGCGCTGGTTCCTCATGGTGCTGGCGGAGCTGGGGGCGGAGGCGGGTGTGAGGCCGGTCCCGCTGCCCCCACGGCGGCCCCCACCAGGTCCCTTCCTCCAGCAGCAGCCAGAGGGGCCTCTACAGACCCACCCAGATGCTGTCACTGCCACTCCCTGCTGTGGACCCTCCGTGGCTCCCTACTGCCCTTGGGTACAATCCCAGCTCCTTCCACAGCCCGCCCAGCCCTGGCCGCTCTGACTTGACCCTTTTCTTTCCCGCTCACTTCGCCCCTGTCTGTTTCTCACTGCTCCCCCCGGCTCACTCGGCCTCACAGCTCTTTACCTGCCGCGGCGGACCGTCTGCCCAGGTCTCTGCGTGGCAGCTCGAACCCCGCCCCTTAGAGAGACCTCCTGGCTGTACCACCGCCCCCCACTGCGAGGACGCTTGTGCTTCTGTTGCTGTCCAGCCCCCACCCAAGCATGTTCTCGTGTGTCCTGGGCACAGTCGGGTCCTCAGGGGTGACTCCACGCCTGGGCTCGGGGGGCCTGCTGAAGCCAGGAGCAGGAAGGGACATCCAGGCCCAGCTCCTGCCCTGCAGAACTCCCTGCGTGTCTAGCTGGGGGCCCTTCCAGACCCTTCCAGCTCAACCAAAGCCTGGTGCCCCCTAACTCCACAGCCCCCCATTCTCTAGGCCCCCCAGAAGCCCCTCGGCCCCCACACCCCAGATTCCAAACTGAAGTGTAACCGAGGAGCAGCCGCCCGGCTGGGACACGCGGGGTGCAGGGTGCGGGCAGGGCCAGGCGTGCACACCAGCGGCCAGGCAGCCGGCGTGGACGTGGGCTGACGCTGGCTGACGCCGGCGTTCACATGAAGCTGCCAGGGGGGCGCTGGGCAGAGCAGAGGGCACTCACGACAGCACGGCGAAGGTGACCAGCGTGGCGGCCAGGCAGAGCACGGACACGGAGCAGCCCACGTAGCTGATGGACGACAGCGCCACCTGGTGTCCACGTGTGAGCTGCGGAGGGGAGCAGAGGTGTGAACGCCCCGCGGACCTGGGTCCTGCTGCCCACCTGTCAGCGGACAGCCCCCAGGGCCCAGCCCCTGCTCCCCTGCTTTGCCCGCCGACCCCTCCGCCTCCTCCAGCTCCACCCCCCCAGCCGGCCGCCACCTCCCGCCCACCCTGCTCCCACCCGCGAGACCCCGGCCGGCCCAGAGCACACACAGCTGAGAGGCGCCGCCGCGCCGGGTGGAGAGTAGAGGGTGCGGGTCCCTGCTCGGCCACCTCCCAGCTGACCACATGGCACATGTGACTTGCTCGGCTGTGAAAGGAAAACGCCAGCCCCTCTCCCCTCACAGAGTGGCCATGAGGCCCCCTGAGTGCACGTGAGTGCCCACGTGCAGAGCGCACAGAGCAGGCTTGGGACACGGGGCGTGCGGGCGAGAGCGGCTACTGCCCATCCTAGGTCGGCTCCCACTCCTGGTCCCCGTGGCGTGATGGCCGCTGCATGCATGTCATTGTGCTGCGTGCACACGACGGCTCCCAGGAGCCTCTCCCTGCGCCCGGCCGCTGCGCCTTAACACCTTGCAGATACAGGGCATGAACACGCAGACACCAAGCCGCAGAGGAGGGAACAGGAGCCACGGGTCACCCGACAGCACAGCCCACGGCAGCACTCCCTGGGCTCTAGCCGCTGGGTCTCAAGGTGGGACGCATCTGACCCCAGGCCCAGGAACCAAAGGAGGCGGCCCCGAAGTGTGTAAGTGATGTTGGCGACGACAAAGGAAATGCCTGACTCTCGGGACCATCGCTCATGGGCTGGAGTTGGCAGGAACCCGAGCACAGGGCAGAGAGAAAGACGAGCGGAGAACGGGTCAGAGCGCGGACGCCCTCTGCCGCCACCTGGGTGCATGGCCATGAACACAGCAGCCCCCCGGCCTCGCGCCGCCTGCTCCCCGACCCTGACACCCACCCCTGGTTCTTGACAAGGGCCCATCCTGCCTTCTGGTCCCCAGCTGCTGGATCCAGGCTCTGACGGGGGCCGGGTCCCCTCGGGGCAGCTCCCTGAGCCCAGCAGAGCCGCGCTCCAGCCTCAGCTGACAGCAGGAGTGACCAGGCCCCAGGGGAATGTGTCCTGGGCAGCCCTGGTTTGGCGCCCGTCCCGGCCTTCACCAGCCACAGGCTTTGCCAGCAACGGGCGGCCAGACTCCCGCCAGGCTGAGCCCAGGCTCCTGGTGCATTTCATACTCCGTTGATGGAAATGTACCAGCAGTCTGGGGACAGGTGACAATGAGCTTCTTGGCTGCTTGAGGGGTGTGGCTGGGGCTGGAGGGGGCGGGATTTCTCCCTGGGACACACTTGAATAGACATCAGGCGCTTCCCTTCCTCAGGCTGAGTTACTTCATTAAAGGGGTCAGCGGAGGGGGCCGCGCACCCCCTCATTCCCCAGGCCAGGAGCCCTGGGCGTCACGCCATCCCCTCAGCTGCACGGACCGTGTGTCAGTCTGGGGCCAGCTGGGAAAACAGACACCACTCCGGCCTTTCACAGAGTGGGAAATTTAATTCAGAGAATTGTCTGCAGAGGCGAGGGGAGAACGGAGACCCCACAGGGGGATGAGGTGGCCCGGGTCTGCGCCACACCAGGAAGCCACCTCCCACGGGGGGACACAGCCCTGGCTGGGGAGCCTTCCCCCTGCAGGGCCCTCAGCAGAGATGTGGCCACTGCCAGAAAAGCTGCCTGCAGCTCAGTGAGAGAAGAGCCTAGCGGCCTCCTTCCCCTCCAGCCGCTGGCCCCAAGTGACAGGGACATGGAAGCTGGCACAGTGGGCAGCCCCGTGGGGCAGAGCGGGCAGTGGGAGGGGATGGATCTGAGCCCCTCCTGTGTCTCCAGCCACGGCGGGACGATGCTGCGCTGGGCAGCTGCTGACCTTGGGGCTGGCAGAAGCAGTGGGCCCCCAGCTCCACACCGACGGGGAGGTGGCCCAGGGACCGACCGCAGAGCACGTGCATCCGCTCCACGTGGGAGGCGCGTGGACAGTGGGAGGACCCCGGCTCAGGCTGTGAGGGATGCAGGCTGGTAGGAGATGATGGCTGGGGCTGGGTGCTCAGGCCGGGTGCTGAGGCTGGGTGCTAG